GCCCAGGAGTTGGAGGTTGCTGTGAGCTGTAATGCCATGGCACTCTGCCCAGGGGGACAGCTTTAGGCACTGTCTCAAAAAAAAAAAAAAGAAAGCATATAGTTATACCATGGTTAAATGAATATTTTAGGCCCACTACTGAGATCAACTGCTCAGAAAAAAGATTCATTTCAAAACAGTACTGCTCACTGACAATGCACCTGGTCATCCAGCAGCTCAGGTAGAGATGTACAAGAATCATTCTACATCCATGTAAAACAAGGTGTTGCTTCAACATTCGAGCCTCATTATTTAACAAATACATTTCTCTGATGGATCCGGCAAGGTAAATGTATAAACCTTCTATTAATAGAAAGGAGTCGGGTGCCAGCCACATACACCGAGGCTGGCGGGTTCAAACCCAGCCCAGGCCAGCTAAAACACAATGACAACTGCAACAACAACAATAACAAAAAATAGCCAGGCATTGTGGTGGGTGCCTATGGTCCCAGCTACTCGGGAAGCTGAGGCAAGAGAATCGCCTAAGCCCAAGAGGTTGCTGTGAGCTGTGACACCATGGCATTCTACCACGGCAACAAAGTGAGACTCTGTCTCTTTAAGAAAGAAAAAAAAAGTCACCACTCTAGATGCCATTAAAGAACATTCATCATTCATGATTCAGAGAAAGAGGTTAAAATATCAACATTAACAGGAGTTTGGAAGCTCATTCCCACTATTCTGGGTGACAGGGATTCAAGACTTCAGTGGAGGAATTAGCAGCAGATGTGTTAGAAATAACAAGAGAACTAGAAGTGGAGCCTGAATATGTGACCAAATTGCTGCAATCTTGTGATAAAACTAGTAACTGAGGAGTTGCTTCTCATGGATGAGCAAAGAAAGGGATTTCATGAGATGAAATCTACTGGTAAAGATGCTGTGAACACTGTTGAAAAGACAAAAGATTTCAAACAGTACATAAACTTAGTTGAAGGAGTGACAGGGTTTCAGAGAATTGACTCCCATTTTGAGTTTTACTGTGGAAAAAATGCTATCAAACAGCACTGTATACTACCAAAAACAAAAAGAAAACTTTGTGAAAGGATGAGTCAATCAATGTGGCGAACTTTTTTTTTTTTTTTTTTGATATAGAGAAAGAGTTTTACCCTGTCACCCTGGGTACCATCACAACTCACAGAAACCTCAAATTCCTGGGATCAAGCAACCACTCTGCCTCAGTCCCCAAGCAGCTAGGTCTACAGGCATGCACTACAATGCCTGGATAACTTTTCTGTTTTTAGTAAAGACAGGGTCTCACTCTTATTCAGGCTGGAACTCCTGCTCTCAGGCGATCTGCTGGCCTTGGCCTCCCAGTGTGCTAGGATTACAGGCGTGAGCCACTGCCCAGCCTTCTTGCCATTCATAAAATGCATTTAATTTACCACATTGCTTATTCTCAGTTTTCTCCTCCGCAGAGTAGAAACTCCTTGAGGGAAGCCCAGTTTCCAATCTCGCCTAAGTAAGTCTGAGTGGAATGCCCTGTGGAATCCCTCACATGTTGAATGAGACAGGCAGTTTCAGCATAACTCTGAGCTTTCCTAACTTCACAAACCTTTGCAGACATTGTGACCTTGTTTGAAATGCCCTCCCAATCACAAATTCTTTCAAAGCTTTGCCCTGAGCTGGGTGTGGTGGCTCAAGTCAGTAATCTTCTCACTGTGGAGGCCAAGGTGGGCAGACTGCTTGAGCTCAGGAGTTTGGGACCAGCTTAAGCAAAAGCGAGACACCATCTCTACTAAAAATAGAAACATTAGCCAAGAGCAGTGGTGGGTGCTATAGTCCCAGTTACCTGGGAGGCTGAGGCAAGTGGATCATCTGAGCCCAGGAGTTTGAGTTTGCAGTGAGGCATGCTAACTCCACTGCACTCTTCCTGGGGCACAGAGTGAGATGCAGTCTTAATAAAACAACAACTAAAACCAATTTTGCCCTGGCCTATTTTGAATGCCATTTCTTTATGAAGGCTTTCCCTCTGCAACCCACCTAGATATGAACTCTCCCTTCTATTAAAGAGGGTGTATTTTATACTTTTCTTATGGAACTGATTTCCTTACACCTTGTATTCTAGGTATCTGGGCATTACTCTCATCTCGCACCTCTCTTGCCTCTCACCTACAGGAATCTAAACACCTTCGTAAGGTCAATGCCTCCCCGAGCCTCGCCACTCCCGGGGCTGTGCTGGGTAGAGTACTGAACTGTTCAACTAGTGGCAAAAATGATGGAAACAGAGACAGAAATAATCATTATCACAAAAGTTTTAAAAAATCCTAGAAGAGAGTACACAAAACAGGATGCAGGCACAAATAACAGCGTATGCTGAATCCATTTGTGACCACTTGGCTTGTTTGTCCCCATCACATGGGTTTCATTTTGCTAGAACTACAGAAGACTCAGACAAAAAGTAACGGCCTCCCAGCTGCTGTGTTCCCAAGTCTGTGGTTTTCCTATGATATAAACAAAAGATTCTGGAGTTATGGTCTCCGTTAATATCTGCTGGTGTGGGTCTGGGGGAGAAATGGAGGGTAGAGTGGCGGGGGGTGCGTCTGAGAGAAATCTACCTAATGAACCAACGGTTCATACAAGCAACACCTGGAGCGTTAACCCCCTTCCAACTGCTATTTTATTGGAAAAAAAAAAATTCCATTCTTCCTTTAGTAAATGTAAAAATTCTTTTACCAGCTGAATTCCAATCTAAAGTGTGTGGCAGTTCAGGAGAGATGGCAGCTGGAAAAGATCACATTCAGGATGTAGAGAACGCTTACCAGCAGCGAGGGGATAATCAGAGCCTGCAAAATGAATCCTCAGAGCCATGTTCCTCTAACAAAATGGATTAGCCTCAATTTGCATGCTCAGAGTGTCCTCCTAGAAATGCCGAGAGTACTAGAAATGCCTATCAGCCCCTGAGTGGTGAAAGGATCAGACTTTTGAACAGAAACTGTGTTGATATCAGCTAGTTCAGGACTTGCCACTTGAGTTCATAAGACCCCAAAGCCCACGTTTTGGTTTTAATCCTATTTTTGTTAAATATTTACAATCTACTGCAAAACCAAATTCAGACCAAACGTCTGCTTACACAACCTTGTGACACAGCCACTCCTCCTGACAGGAGGGAAAAAGATGTATTTATTGAGCACGTGTCATGTGACTGGCGTCAGCCCAGTCAGTCACTTTCTTCATGTCCTGCCCTCATAACTATGGCAGGCAGATATGTGGGCCCCAGGGAGGTAACTGGGCTCAGACAGGTTAAGTCAGTTGCTTGGCATCCCCAAAGGAGAACCTGGAAGAGTTAGCTCTGTCTCACTCCAAAGTCAGTGTTCTTTCCCCGGCACTGTGACTCTGGCCAGGATGCCCCAGAGAAGTTCTTTCTCCAGAATTTACAAGAACGTTACAAGAGTCTATGACTCGAGAATAGGTGTTGGCAAAATTTTCTGTAAAGGGCTAGAAAGTAAATATTTTACTTTTTTAAAAAATTCAGTTTGTGGGCTATCTGGCCTCTGTTTTAATTACTCAGTTCCACCACTGCCGTACAAAAGCACCCACAGATGATATGTAAATGAATTAACATTCTGTGTTCTGATAAAACTTTACAAAAACAGGCAGTGGGCCAGATTTAGTCAACCAACTATAGTTTGCCAACCCCAGCTCCAGAAGGTGGGCAGCTTCATGTTATTCAGTCTTAGAAATTATAAAGAATTGCCTATTTCCAGCTAATTCAACATACATGAGAGTCTTCTACATTCAAGGCAATATGAAAGAGAAAGAATAGTATAAGATGTGGTTCATGCACTTAAGGAACTTATATTCTTTTGGGAGGAAGAAAAGGCACAGACACATAAAATCCAAAAATAGCAACACAAGATAGAACCTAGGAAGTGCCAAAGGAGGGGACTTGAGGGCCAAGAGCTGGCTGATGGGCCACCATAATGTTAGAAAACCAGATCAAATAATCTTCAACTGGCCCCAGAGCTCAGAAAGTCGGAAAAACCTCTCAGTGGGCAAGAATGAAGAATGAATCAGAAGTTTCAGCCTTAGGCACTAACACAAACACCCATTCTGGCCAGACCACACGAAGGTTTTTAGGCATGTGTCAGATGCTAATCAAAGACAACATCTCCTTTATACTCAGCATACACATTTTCTTCCTGTCTCATTCTAAAAGGACAAGCAATTTGACCTCAGATGCAAGATAAACTGAGTGCTCTGGGGACCCCAGGAGGTCTTTCCATTCTCTTGTCAGCTGGTACTGTAAGCACTGAAGACCTGAAGAAGCTACAGGTGGAAGTCTAGCTCAGGCCACGCGTAGAAGTCTGGCAAGCAGACGTTTCTCAAAATCTTACCTTGCTCATGGCAGTCAGGGCAGGGTCACAGGCGGCATCCAGATCCTGAACCAAAAGCTGAATACTGCTGGAGATGACACTGCAGAGCAAACAAATTATTGTGGTCACGACTTAACACACGACTGCTTACATAACTAACACAGCCCTTCACAAATGTATAAAAATTAGGTTCATCATTTCATCAGAAAATCTCAAGCTTTAATTAATGATGATGGAGGAGAAGTGTGGCTCCTTCTTGACCTGGTCTTTTTTATTTCTTTTGAGACAGAGTCTCAAGCTGTCACCTTGAGAATGCTGTGGCATCATCAATTCACAGCAACCTCCAATTCTTGGGCTCAAGCAATCCTCTTGCCTCAGTTTTTTTCTATCTTTAGTAGAGACAAGGTCTCGATTCTTGCTCAGGCTGGTATTGAACTCATAAGCTCAAGCAATCCACCTGCCTCGGCCTCCCAGAGTGCTAGGATTATAGGCATGAACCACCATGCCTGGCCTTCTTGTCCTGGTCTCATCTGGGTGGGTCCTGTACCATCAGGACATGGAATTTCATAGTTAGTCTCCCTAATCACCACCAACCAGGGCCCTTCTTCACGCTGTCCTCTAAAAGTACCTGTTTCCCAAAAACATTTAATTTAGAACTGAAGGGGAAAGAAAGCTAAGAAAGGGGGAAGAAATAAGCTAAGAAGAGAATTTTGATTTTTCCTCAATAAGTGGTTAGTGTGAAACCTGAGGCTTGGCCCATGCCTATGTCATTTAATGGCAGTGGAATTTAAACTGACCACAACGAAAATATTATAAGGTAATACGTGTAACAGGGGAAGAATAGTCCAAGAAGGCTTTATTGTTTGAACTTCTTGGACAGACCTCCCTTGCCCGTTAAAGACACACACACAAGCATGTGCACACGCACGCACACATTTTTATATCCCCAATGGCTAAAGCTAGGCCATGTATGCCATATATTCTAAAACCCCGAAAGTGGGCCTGACTCTCTGAGGATTTAGGTCGGGACAGATCAGGGATGGACAAGGGACAATTTCTTCTGCTTGGTTTTTCTAGATAGTGCAACAACGAAGAGGCTGTAAGCTAAAAGGATGATGGCATCAATTCTAATGCTGCTTCTTAGCAACCAGTGAAGAATAATTCTGATCCAACAGAAGGCCCTAGAACCCTCTTAGGCCATGTAGTGATCTGCCACTTTGTTAAGAAGAAAGGGCAGGCTTTGAGCAAATACACGTGCAAGGTACGTACGTGCTGAAGGTATCCATTTCTCCGGTCAGATTGATTCGTTCGGTCAGACTTACATCAACTTTTTCTTTGAGTTTTTCTTCTAGCTGTTAGAAAACGAGAGAAACAGCAACACAGTTAATGATTATCCAAAAGAATATGGTAATAATAATAGTTAACATTTATTGAGTTTGATGATACAGGTGCAATTCTAGACACACGTGATGCATTGACTCATTTAGTTCTCCTAACCCTATGAGGAAGGTTCCATTAATATCCCCATTTTACAGATGGGAAAATGGAGGTGCCTACCCAAGATAGTCAAACTTCCTTCAACCTGGATCCTTTACCACCGTGCTGTACTTATTTCTTATGACACGTTTATAATTCATATCATTATATTTGAAAAGATTCTAATTTTTTTTTGCCTCCCTTTCAGCAATGTGGAAAAAGAAGACTCTAATTTTAAGATAGTTACTATACCATAAACTGCAGACTTGCCCATCAACACTGTAAACCTTTGGTGGTAAGTGGCAGTCAAACCAGTTAAAACATGGTGTGCAGCCAGGAGCAGTGGCTCACGCCTGTAATCCTAACACTCTGGGAGGCCAAAGGGGTGATCCCTTGAGCTCACAAGTTCGAGATCCAGCCTGAGCAACAGTGAGACCCTAATCACTACTAAAAATGGAAAATTCAGGCAAGAGGATCACTTGAACTCAAGAGTTTGAGGTTGCTGCGAGCTATGATATCAGAGCACTCTACCAAGGGTGACAAAGTGAGACTCTGTCTCAAAAAAAATGGAGGGGGGGCTACTATGGGCCCAGCACTTTGTTAACATCCCTGCTTTCATGACCCTGCAGTCTGGGATAGAAACAACTCAATGTCCTCCTACAGCCTCAAAGAAAAATACAATTGGACCAGAAATTGTCAATACCCAAAAACATCCCCGGGAACTGATTAATCTGGCACTCCTAAACCTATTACACAAACTCTAAGGATAATTAATGTTTTGTCTTACATTTTAAAAATGCTCTTAGGGGTGTGAAAATTAGTGCAACCTTTTCAGAAGGCAACTTATTAAGAAACCAAAGACTTAAATATATACAATCTTTAAATCACCAACTCACATCCAGAAATGTACTTCAATGAAATAAGAATAATGTACAAAGATATACAAATAGTCTATGTGGCATTCATTAATTCAACCAATATTCACCTAAAGTCTACTTTGTCCACACTGCATAGCAGAATAAGGGAGAGAACAAAAGAATGAAGACCGTGTTCTCGGAAGGCTCACACTCCAGTGCTGTTTCATATAACTGAGAAACTGGAGACAATGTACAGGTAGCTCTACAAAGTATCCACGGAACATATTACGGCATAGGCTACTAAGGCTTAAACTCTTCGGAGGCTTCTTCCCATGACAATGAAAAGAAAATCCAGACCTCTACCCATAATCTGGCCTTGTCTTCCTACTTTCTTCTGCCTTGCCTGCTAGGCAAGTCTCCGGGACGCCCCAGGGTCTCCTCCTCTCCCTAAGCTGCTCATCCTCCTAACCAGCTCCCTCCCTTCCCAACCCTTCCAGCCTCCTTCCCAACACTTGGGGCTATGCTTCGGCAGGCAACTCCTTACGCTAACACAACTACATCTGTTCCCTTCCTAATACCGCAAAAGTGAAGCTACATCTTGGCTGGCTTATTTATTTATTATCTGACTCCCCTATTAGTTCTAAGTTCCATGCCAGAAAGAAACATGTTTACTCCATTCACCACTGTTAATTAACACTGATAATTAACCTGGCACTTAATAAGTGCTTAATAAAGATCTCTTGAAAGAATGAATGGAACATACCATGCGGGTGTTAAAAAGGCTGAGGTAATGCTGACATAGAAAGATGCCCACGATTCAGGTGAAAACAAAACAATGTTGCTTTGTTGCAGGAACAGTATGGGCATATTTTTATTTAAAAAGACACAACAAAAGATGTTTGGGAGGGTACACATTTTTAAACAGATTAACAGTCATTATTCTAAGGGGTGAGATGATGGGGAATTTTTATCCCTTACATATGTTTCTCTAATATTTGAAACTTAAGAGTACCTATGACTCACACTATTTTACAGGGAAAACTTCAAACATTTACAAAAATACTGTACAATGTATCAAACCAGAGTCACCAACTGCTGTTACATGGCTAGTCTTATTTTGTTTATACTCTCACCTATTCTCCCAGGCCTTGACTTATTTTTAAGCAAATGCTAGTAGACATTCTATCTTTCATCTGTACATGTTTCAATGCGTATCTCTGAAAGATAAGTACTCCTAAAAAGATCATAACCACAATAGTATTACCACACCTAAAAAAATTAACAATAATTCCTTTAATATCAATCATCACATATCTAGTCAGTGATCACATTTCCCTCATTGTCTTACTTTTCTTTTTTTTTGAGACAGGGTCTTGCTCTGTCATCTGGGCTAGAGTGCAGTGGTGGTGTCGGTGTCGTAGCTCACAGCAACCTCAAATTCCTGGGCTCAAGCTTACTGAGTAGCTGGGACTCCTTGTTGGTTAATTTTTAAATATTTTGTAGAGCCGAGGTCATCTTATGCTGCCTAGGCCAGTCTTAAACTCCTATGCTCAAGTGATCCTTCTGCTTTGGCCTCCTAAAGTGCAAGGATTTCATGTATGAGCCACTGTACTTCGCTTTTTTTTTTTTTTTAAATATTTTAATTATTATTATTTTTTTTTTTTGCAGTTTTTTTTTGGCTGGGGCTGGGTTTGAACCCACCACCTCCGGCATATGGGGCTGGCGCCTACTCCTTTGAACCACAGGTGCTGCCTTTGGCTTGTCTTATGTTTAAAAAAATAGTTTGTTGTTGGGTGGTGCCTGTGGCTCATGGGTAGCGTGCCGGCCCCATATACCAAGGGTGGTGGATACGAATCCGGCCCTGGCCAAACTGCAACAAAAAATAGCCGGGTGTTGTGGTGGGTGCCTGTAGTCCCAGCTACTTGGGAGGCTGAGGCAAGAGAATTACCTAAGCCCAGGAGTTGGATGTTGCTGTGAGCTATGATACCACTGCACTCTACCAAGGGTGACATGGTGAGACTCTGTTTCAAAAAAAAAAAAAAAACAAAAAAAATAGTTTGTTTTAGATTCAAAACCTGATAACTTCTTATACCTAGACTATTTCGTCCCTAAAATTAAGATGTTTTTGCATGTTTCATTAGGTGGGTTATAGTGCTTTCATTAAAAAAAGTTTTTAAGCATGTACAACAGTATAATTATAAAATATTTGGGCAATTAAAATTGACATAAAGATGATTAAGCATAGTTTATTCATTAAAAATAGTTTGTTTTAATGAGGACCCAGATAAAGACCATACTTGGCAATTGGTTGATATGTCTCCTAAGTCTCTTTTTAAAAAATGAGATATAATTAATTTTGTTTTGTTTTTTGAGACAGAGGCTCACTTTATCAACCTCAGTAGAGTGCTACAGTGTTGTAGCTCACAGGAACCTCAAACTCTTGGGTTTAAGTGATCTTCTTGCCTCAGCCTCCCAAGCTGGGACTACAGGTGCCTGGCACAACACCCAACTAGTTTTAAAGGCTGCATCTCATTCTTACTCAGGTTGGTCTTGAACGTCTAAGCTCAAGCAATCCACCTGCCTCAGCCTTCCAGAGTGTTAGGACTATAGGTGTTAGCTACTGTGCTCAGCCTTAAAAAATGCACAGATCTTTAGTGTGTAGTTGGATGAATTTTGACAGTCACATATACCTATGTAATTACCAATTATAACAAAATACAGAACATTTCCATGCCCCTAGAAAGTTCCCTCATGCTCCTTTGCCTCTTTCTAGTCAACTCCACCCTCATGCCCATGGTCTGATTTCTATCACCACAGATTGGGTTTGCCTGTACGGTGTTTGAATGCCATATACAGTAGTCTCCCTCTATCTGTGGTTTTGCTTTCCACAGCTGCACCTACCCAGGATCAACCATGGTCTAAAAACATTAAATGGAAAATTCCACAAATATGTCCAGTTATCCACTGGCCACTTGTTACTGCATAGGAAAAAACATAGTGTACCATATGCAGGATTCTGTACTACCTGCAATTTCAGGCATCCAGTGGGGGTCTTGGAATGTATCCTCCATGGATAAGGGGGGACTACTGTAAAGGGAATCATACGGTATGTATTCTTTGATGTTTGGCTTTTTCTATTTAACATAACATTTCTGAAGTTCATCCATTTCACTGTGTATATCAGTAGTTGAGTAGTATTACTGATTGTCTGGCTATAACACAATCTGTTTATCTGTTTTCCTGGTGAGGGACACTTAGATTGCTTCTAATTTGGGGTTGTTCTGAATGGGGCTATTATAAACATTCTTGTCTATAACTTTTTGTGGTGTGTTTTCATTTATCTTGGGAAAATCTCTGGGAATTAAATTCTCAGGTCAGGCTCAGCTCAGTGAGTAGGGCACTGGCCACAGGCTGGTGGGTTTGAACCCAGCCCAGGCCAGCAAAATAACGACAACTGCAGCAAAACTCCCACCCAAAAAAAATAGTCAGGTGTTGTGGCGGGTGCCTGTAGTCTCAGCTACTTGGGAGGCAGAGGCAAGAGAATCGCTTAAGCCCAAGTGTTTGAGGTTGCTCTGAGCTGTGATGCTATGGCACTCTACTGAGGGTGACATAGTAAGACTCTCAAAAAAAAAAATTCCTAGGTCAGGTTATAAGGTGTTTTAAGAAACTGTCCAACTCAGGTGGCTCCTGTGGCTCAGGGAGTAGGGCACCATATACCAAGGGTGGTGGGTTCAAACCTGGGCCTGGCCAATCTGCAACAAAAAAAATAGCCGGGTGTTGTGGCGGGCACCTGTAGTTCCAGCTATTCAGAAGGCTGAGGCAAGAGAATCACCTAAGTCCAAGAGCTGGAGGTTGCTGTGAGCTGTGACGCCACGGCACTCCACTGAGGGTGACAAAGTGAGACTCTGTCTCTAAAAAGTAACTGTCAAACTCCAAAATGGTTATATGTATGTATTATACCATTCACATTCCTGCCACCAGTATATAAGAATTCCAGTTGTTCTATATCTGTCCATATT